ATGGAATAGAAAGGATCTGCCACTTCACAATCTTGAGGGCTTTAGAAGCCCACACTCTGGTGTCCCATAGACCTCAGATTGTTCATTGGCCATGTGACCTTATTTATTGTCTTTTTCATTTTTATTGGTACCAGGGGTCAAACTCACGACTGCCTCTTGCAAGGCAGATGCTTATGCCGCTGAGCTAAATCCCCAGCCCCTATTTTTTATTTTTGAGACAAGGTGTCACTCCATAGTTCAGACTGCCCATGAACTCACTATTGTAGCCCAGGCTGGCCTCAAACACACAGCATCCTCCTGCCTCAACCTCCTGAAGGCTGGGATTACAGGCATGTGCCACCACATCCGGTTTGGCTATGTGACCTTGAACAAGTGGTTCAACATCCTGAGGTTCAATTGCTTTGTCTAAAAATAGCCACAGTAATAGATACCTCCTTGGGTTGTTTTGGGATTAGAGATGATGTCAGAGAGAAGCCCAGCACAGTGCTGTTCAGTGTATAGTAGGAGCTCAATAAATGCAAGTGGTGATTAGCTGTGGTTACAGGGCTGTTTACACATGTGCTAAAGAAAAACAGCACTCAAAGAGCTATTGAGGTCATAGTAAGTGACATGTGGCCTCTCAGTGTCCAGGAGCCTTTTTCAGTTTCCTCCAGCCTGTGGAGGGGGCTGTGCTGCTCTAACACTAGTGAACAGTGTGCCTAGCAGCCAGGAGCCAGGAAGTGCTCTCTCCTGCCCTCTGCCAAGGGCAGTGGTGGTGGGAACAGTGAAGATCAGAGGGAGCCCTCAGCTGCCCCTCAGATCTGCTGTGGGGCGCAAAGTCTCAATATAAGGAAGCCTGCAGTCTTTGAGAATGAGGCAGGTTGCATTGTAACCAGGCTTTCCATCTCTCACATCTCTGAGCATTTAAAAAAATTCCTGAGCTGGGCATGGCAGTGCAAGCCTATAATCCCAGTACTCAGAGGTGGGAGACTCGTCATGAGTAGGCCATCTGGGCTACATAGTAAGTTCAACGCCAGCCGGAACTGCATAGCAAGATCCCGTTCCCCTCCCCCACACCCCAAAAAGACTTCAGTTATAGCCAGGCATGGTAGCCAGTGGCTGTAATCCCAGGCTGTAATACCCAGCTCCCTGGGTAGCTGATACAGGAGGATTGCAAGTTTGAACTCAGCCTGGGAAACCTGGCAACTTGGTGAGACCTTGTCTCAAAAAGAATTTTAAAAGGCTTAGGGGGCATATATCTTAGTGTGACGCCCCGGTGCTTGATCTCCAGTACCACAAATAGATAAATCATAAAATGAAAGCTTGAATGGCATAGGACCCAAATATTCACCAACTTTATATCAGATCCCTTAGCCCTGGTTTCACTTTCCACAGTTTCAGTAGCCTGAGGTCAACCACAGGCTGAAAATGTTAAATAGAACATTATGCATTTTTAAGAGAGCAGGAGAAAGACCATAGATTCACATAAATTGTATTATAGTATATTTATTTATTTGTTTGTTTGTTTATTGGTCTTTTTCCTTTTTATCGGTACCCAGGATCGAACTCATGACTGCCTGCTTGCAAGGCAGGCACTTATGCCACTGAGCTAAATCCCCAGCCCCTATAGTATATTTATAATTACTCTATTTTACTGTTGCTTTTGTTAATCTCTCGCTGTGCCTCATTTATAAATTAAACTTTGTCATCACGTAGGAAAACTAGTATATATGGAATTTAGCACTGTCCAAGGTTCAGGTGCCCCATGGGTGTGTTGTACAATCAACTGTGTGTACCGAGGAGCATAGACGTCAGCCATTTGTCTCTCAGTTCTCAAACAGCCTAGAAGCTCAGCTCAGAAAATAGCCTGGAAGACCTGATTTGCACCATACTTCCCTTACCTGACCAGGCTCCCCACATCTGAGCAACCTCCCCTGTGGTGCAGGCCCCAGACTGTCACCCACAGGCCTAGCCTGCCATGGGAGCCACTGTAGGTCAGGAGGAGGGTGCAGGGAGGCTGAGCAAGGAGCCCCTGATGGGTCAGAGGAGCCAACACAGCTGCCTGGGGCGGGAGATCAAACTCACCATAGACTTTATGATTGTGGAAATGGATAGGCAGGGTGGGAGGAAGCAGTTTGGCTTTGGACCTGAGTGTGAACCACCCTGGTACAACAGGCAGGTCTTCATCACCCAGAGCCAGGTGCGGCCTGCCTGCTGCTCTCACGCTTTTAGGGCTCTCTTGCCATCTGGTTCTGTTCCTGTCTTTTCCCGCCTCACTTCTTGAATGGCCTTAGACCTGCAAGTCAGGTCACAGCACTCCAGCTCTATCCTCCAGGGTTCCGTGGGTGGAAGCACCTTGAAGAGAGTTTTGTCCAGCTTGCAGTCCCATCATTGAGACCCCTCATGCTTCCTCATGTGACTCCCCTGGCATGGCTGCCAGTCAGGGCATCGGCTTCTACTTCCTGTTGTCAACCATGCTGGGGTCTGGGGGAGTCTTTTGCTCCCCAAGATGAGGTCATCAGGGGCTGGGGATTTAGCTCAGCGGCATAAGCACCTGCCTTGCAAGCAGGCGGTCGTGAGTTCGATCCCTGGTACCAATAAAAATGAAAAAGACAAAAAAAAAAAAAAAAAAAAGATGAGGTCAGCACCCTCTAACTCTCACTTCTTGTCACCTGGGTTCTGTGGCAGGGGCCAGCTGTAGAAACTTCTCCCTCCCTGCCGAGCTGATGTCCTAGTCAATGGTGTCTCCTCAAAGAGCACCTCCTCAGCCTCTGGTGACCTCAAGTCCATGTGGGCTTCTTTTAGGCTTTTATCCAGATGTGACCCTAGAGCCTCGATAGCAGAAAGGGACTTTTGAACTTAGGACCCCTCTTATTTATTTTTCTGCCTCATTTTTTTAGATGCGGACACTGAGAGGTTGTCACTTGGCCAAGGTCACACTGATAGTAGAAGAACACTAAATCTAAATTCCGTCTCCTGATTGGAAGCCACTCTTTTCCTGTCACCTACTGACCCTGGGGACCAGGAAAGCAGATGCCACATTTGTGTTGTATCATCTAAGATCCCATTTCTTTTTTTGTGTATGTGTGTGTGTGTGTGTGTGTGTGTGTGTTTTTGAGACAGGGTCTTGCTACATAGTTCTGGCTTTTGGGCTTACTATGTAGCCCAGGCTGGCCTCAAATTGGCAGAGATCCTCCTGCCTCAGACTCCTGACTGCTGGGATTACAGGTGTTCATCACCACATCCAGTTCCATTTGCTTTTTATTGAATGGGGCAGCCTCATCTCCCTGTTGGGTTGAACTTCGAGTCAACTAAAAACTCTGATTTGCTTTATAACTTTATTTTGTTCCAATTACAAAAATAATGTATGTTTAATGTAAAAAATATTAGGAAAGTCACAAAGAATATAAACTGGAGCAGCCCTGACAGTTGTCAAGCTTCCCAGTGCTCTTTCTGCTGCTTTGTTTTGGGAGGAACAATAGGGCTCTGCCTTTCCTGATAAGGCCGAACCCTTCCGCTGTCTCTAAGCCTGTTTTGTTCTCAGCCCTTATTGGCTCCCCGCCCCCACTGTGGACTCCCACAGTGACTGTGGCAACACTGACCAAAGCTGGACACCGGCTGGGGATCCCTGGAGGGTCTGTCTGCATCTGCCACACTCCTGCCCTCCAGCTCTGCCATCCTGCCCTGCCCAGGTGCCCACTTTCTCCCAGCCTGAGCCCCTCTTCTTCCGAGAAGGCTTTGTTCTTTCAGGTTCCTTTTTGGGGTTCCCATTTGCTTGTGTTCTGGCCACACCACTTGTCCTTGGTTACATATTGACCTGCACTAATCTCTTCTCTCCATCCCTTGCACTTCTCTGGCCTCCTCCTTGGCACCCACCACGGGGGGGGGGGGGGGAGTGTCTGGAGAAATTAAGGACCTGCCCTGCTGGGGAAGGGCTCTAAGAGCCTCAGAGACCAATCCTGAGCTCCTCTGAGTGGGGAGAGCAGAGGCTCATGGGAGCTCCAGGAATCTGCCATTGTCCCTGGCCCCAGCTTCCACACCGTGCTTTCTCCTGAGATTGACATAGCAGTTAACCACGGGGGGGGGGCACCCAACAGTGGCTTCCATCCCAGGGATGTATGAAATGTAGAGTTTGGTTGACCTTTCACAGGGGAAGCGTCCCCAGAGAAGAGAAATCTTCTGTGGCCACTATTTAAAAGAGACACGGCAAAGCCAGGACCCCTTCCAGTTTTAGGGCCTTCCCACTGAGGACAGCAGGACACTAGCCTTTGCATGCCTCCCACAGTGTGCTCCAGTGACCCAGGCCTCCAACCCTAATGTGGGACTCAGGGACCAGAATGCCTGCAGTGGTCCTGGGTAATGACAGGCAAGGCCACACCCACATTCCTCTCCATGTGAACACCTAAAGGGTTCACCAGATTCTTTCTCCAGGGAACCTGAGCAGGCTAGCCTTGTACTAGATCTCAGGTGGGCTCTCCAACTTTCTTCTTCTGGCTTTGGGGGCCAGGAGCTGACTTGTCTCGGAGAGCACTGAGTACCAGGTGTGGAATGTGGCTATCCCTAATGTAGGACCAGAAGTAATGTGAACTTCATGCCATTGTTGGAATGTGTTTTTTCTAGTTTTATTTATTGGTTGGGGGAGGGACTGGCTGGCTCTGACCTTTGGTCCAACTCTAGAAAAGTGCGGGGAGAAGAGGCAGAGATTGGCACCCTGAGTCACTGAGGGTCTCCGTGGCCTCAATATTGAAGAGAGCTCAAGGAGAGGTCCCCTGCTGCCATGGCCTCTGACCCCAGCAGGCCGGACAGGATAAGGAGGGGATATGTTCACAGACAATAACTACTGAGACTCTGGCAAGTCAAGTCATTTATTTCATCTAGCTGGGTTGGGCTGTCATCCTGACTGAGTCCACTGGTCACCCCAGAGGAGTGAGGTTTAGATGGGAGGCAGCAGCTGCTTGGGTGAATTTCTCTGTGTGGGGTAAAAAGCCCATCCATTAAAAAAAGAAATCAGAAACAGAAAAGTTAGTTCTCTGGTTTTATTAGATGGAAGGCTATAAAATAAGACATAACACAGAGCTTCAAGACTGCCTCGTATCGGCAGTGAACCCAGGGATCCAGGGATGTAAACATAAACAGAGCCTCCGGATAACACTCTAGCACTTGTGGAACATGAAAATAAAATGAAATAAGTCCTCAGAGTTAGTCTACACACAGTTTGGAGGCAGTCCCAGAAGATTTCCTCCTTTCCAGTGGGCGTGGACCTGGCATCCGGGCAGGGAGGCCAGGCTGGTTCTGGTGGGGTTTGGCTTCCAGGGGCTGCCTGGTCTGTGGCAGTCCACAGCTGTTTTGAGTCTTGCCTTCCCCCAGGAGGACTAGATCTCCTCTGACTCACAAGTCATAACCTGCCATCCCACCCAGTCCCCTTACTGTTATCTCCAGAATCCAGCCACACGAGGGAGCCTGCCCGCTCCCTCAGAGAGTCAAACAGCCTGGCGATGCCTTTCTCCACAGGCAGGCAAATCCTTGGCCTGGCCACTGTGAAAACAGAAAAAAATAAGGCTAGAAAGAAAATGTGCTAACTATATCAAATGATCTCCTCGCTCTGGAAGTTTCTGATGTATTATGATTCTATCTCAGTGCTTTGCTGCTGTGCTAGGTTTCTGACTAACACAGGCAAAGGGCCGGTGTTCAGCCTGGCTCCGTGCTTGCCTTGGTAGTTTGGGTAGTGGACTGAGCGCCAGAGGCCTGGCATCGCACCTGTTTGACCTCTGCAGCCTCCTGGGAGTGCACAGGCTCTCCAGGAAAGCCGGGCTTGCCAAGAAACAGAGGAAGGGAAGGGTAGCAGCATTGAGGCGCTGTCCAGCAGAAGAGGAGGGACAAAAGGAGCAAGCCACCCTCAGAGTGGGCCTCAAGGAAGATCTTTGTTCCGTTAAACAGCTCCAAGAACGAGGGTGGGTCAGGCAGTCATCCCCAGACTAAGGCACAGAAAAGGTTTGAAATGTCCAGGATAAATAGAACCACATGGGAGTGGAGAAAAGCCAGCTCCATCCCTCTCTTAAAAACAGTAGTTATGGGCTCCACAATATATATTAATATCTGTACATTTGTCATCTTAAAAAAAAAAAAAAAGGAAACGAAGTCTCCTTGGCACCTTATGGTTGATTTCTCATAAATGAGGTGATGATATGTGGAAAAGCCTCCTGTGTGCAGCCATGCACACGCCTGCTGCACACATGTGCTAGCACACACTGAGCAGTGCTACACAGCCATGGGTGTGCACCTGCACGTACACAGCTGTGCCCATGTGTGTGCCTGGAGGTGGGGGCACTGCCAGCTCCCCACAGTGGTTGTTTGCAGGAGTGTTCTCTGCCAGTGCTCTTGACTCTGTTGTCCCTGGAGTACCAAAGCCCCTTTCCTGTGCTCAGGGGCAAGGGCGACAGGGTCCCCTCTTGCTGCATCCCCCAGAAGCGCTGCTGCCAGGAGAACCTGTTGATGCAGGTGGCTGCTTCCAGTCACTTGGCCATGCCCCTGTCCAGGCCCATGCATGTCTTCCTGTGCCCAGAGCAGCCTCTGCCCCTGAGATAAATGTACAGAAATGAGCAGAGGTCAGGGCCAGGTCCTCGGGAGTACGTGGGCCTATGGGGGAGACTAAGGTGGGGGGCTCCTGTTCTGATCAGAAGTGTTCTGACAAGAGTCTGGAGGAAGAGGACGGCCTGGCTGGGCAGCAGTGTGGTGAACCTGAGCCTCCAACAGCAGCCCTGGGTTGTGCTCCTTAGAGGTGGGGGCTGCCCTGGAGCAGGGAAGTAACAGTGTTCTGCAGGGCCACAGCCACCTTCTTGGAGGTCTTGCGCAGCAGTGGGCTGTCGGGGTGGTGTTCTTTCAGATGCAGAACGTGGCCCTCCTGGCTCTCAGATGTGCAGCCGCACTCCTCGCACACGTACAGCTTGGCCCGGCGCTCCTTGTAGGCATATTTCTGCTGCACACCATGGATCTTCTTGAGGTGAGACTCCAGGGAGCAGCGCTGGGTAAAGGCCTTGTCACACAGGCTACACTTGTAGGGCCGCACGCCTGTAGAGGGCAGAGGCTGCCATTAGAGACCTGACAGGGACCTCAGTGCCTGTGACCAGCATTCAGACCCAGAACAGCCAGGACAGGTGATGGGGTAGAAGGATGAAAGAGGACTATCCAGCACCAGTCTCCCAAGAGACTCGCAACCCTTATGGATAAACTCGGGGATTCCACCCTGACCTGGGGGAGACTTCTGGGGTGTCAGGCAGGCAGGTCTTAGGTGCTCCCTGCTGGCCACCGGCTCCTGCTTACCTGTGTGGGTCCGGACATGTCTTTTGAGGTCAAAAGTGTCATTGAAGCCCTTCCCACAGTATGTGCAGAGGTGCCTCTTGACGTCGTTGTGACACTTCATGTGGCGATTGAGCATGCGCTGGTATGTGAAGGCCTTCTGACAGATGTGGCAGGTGAAGAGGTCTCCACTAGGACTGTCCCCTGCGGTCACCTGTGGGCAAAGGGGCCATTTGTGAGACTCCAGAAATTGGGTATGCAGCCTGGGAGACCTAAACATTAGGCCCTAGCACCCTCAAGTGCCACTTTCGGAGGCCACAGCCCTGTGCCATTCCCTCAGAGACGGACAGTGTGGGGGCTGGAGGAACATCTGGGTCACAAGTGCTGCTTCCTGTTTGCTTCTTGAGCTCCAATTTGAGGCTGTCACACAGGACCTCCTTAACCATACAAGGGGGCAGCAGCAGCAGAGGTTGCTGCAGCAGCGGGCAGCTTTACCCTAACTGAGCCACGTGGCCTTGCTGTAGTTCTACTCATTCATCCTCATCCCACCTTGGCACAGCTCACACCCTTTTGCCATCCTCTTGCCTGTACATTTTTGGGTTTTTTTCATGATGGAAAATTTTAAATTTAAACAAAAGTGGAGAAACTGTTATCATGAGCCTGTGCCGGCACTTGGGGCGTCTTGCTCCATGTCTGCCATCTTCCTTCTCCCTCTCTGGGTTCATTCTTTGGCAGTGCTACTTCAAGTAGCAGCAGGAGCGCTCCAGGTGTGAGCAGCACACGTGTGGCCTGATGGCCAGCATGGGGCTCCTCCCTCACCTGTTAGCATCTGGAGGTTGCTTGTTCTCTGTGGGTCCTGACGTCAGATACTCCTTGGTCACTCCACACCTCCCATTCAGCACCCCTGGTCTGTTTCAGCTGTGGCACCCCTGTTGCCAGCTGGTCAAGACCTCTGCGCTGGGACCCATGGCACTCATTGGCTCCTCTACCATCCTGTCCCCTCTGTTCTGCTCTCCCTGCCCACAAGGGTCCAGGGGTTGGGGCAAGGTCCTAATGGGGTGAGGGGCACTGTGACTTCCAGGAGGGCCCCAGCAGGCTGGGACCAGTGGCTAAGCACAGTGGATCACTGCCCTCTACACTTAGCCTCTGAGGGTTTAGGAGAAGGATGGTTCTACCTCCCACTGTCTGTAGCCTTCGGCACACTAGAGGGATAGCCCTGTGCCAAGTCACTTCTGGGGGAAACTTCCGAGTCCTGACTCACAGGAATGCAGAGTGGCCGGGGCCAGCATCCTGCTGGTGTTGTCCCAGAGAGTGGGGGCATCTATGCCACCTTGTGCACAAGGGTGCTGCTCACTCAGGCCGTGCCTAAGGCACAGCTTTGGATGCTGCTGGGCTGGAGACACAGTCCTGGGCAGGGCTGTCACTGACCTGCTTCAGGGGCAGCTAACCATGGGACGGGATAGAGCCCAGAGGGGAGCCGAGCCCCCTCCCCGCCATGCCAGGCTCCGCCTCACTGGTCTGCCTGGGACTTCTGTGTAAAAAAGGTGGCTCTTCCTACAACTTGCCTTGCTATGCTGGATGTTGCAGGATACTGACTTGAAAGGGCTAGGTGTCCTCACTTAGACCTCCTTACTTCTCTTCCCTGTCTGTGCTCCTGCTATATTCACTACTAAAGTCACTGCCCAAGGCCCAGGTTAGGCTCTGCCTGTGTCTCGTTTGCACTATGTTTTGTGGGGGCTGGACACATAGCCCCGGTCCTCAAGATGATCTGAGAGTCATTACCTTCATCTTGGTGCGCAGGAAACCCTGGTCTCTGCTCTGAGCATCTGTCAGGCGGCCCATGTCTTCAGAGGGCAGCTGAGCCACCACGCAGGTTCCTGAGGCTACACCATAGCTGGAGTCCCGAAGGCTCATGTCCAGAGCCAGGGAGCAGGAAGGAGGTTCGGCCACAGATGGCTCCGGGTCCCGGTATGGCTGTGGAGGGCAGAACCCCAGGCTGACTGGGGAGAGAAGCAGAGCCAGGTGAGGACATGTGGAGAAAAGAGGATCCTGTCAGGTTTCTGGAAGTTTCCTCAGCAAGGACATAGATGGAACCTGGAGCCCCTCTGTTCCTTCCCTTTTGGATATGCAGAACGGCGCTACCCCCAAAATGCCAGATGCTGTACCTCTTTCCCCACCCCAGTAAGGTAATTGCAGGTGACGCCAGCCAAGCGCCACTGCCCACTGAGTAATTTGTGTCTTAGCGGAACTGGGAGGACCAAACTGCCCTGCCAATTATGCCTGCAGAGCTGTCTACCTGCCCCACCTGGGCCAGTCCCTCTGGATTCCAGGCCTGTCCTCACTCTTGTAGGGACAAAGGGCACCACTTGAGGCCGTGATCAGGGACAGCTCCTTGAGTTCATCCTGGCCCCAGAAGGGTCTTGGTAGTCTGGAGCCTGGCTCCAGTCTGTCCCCCAAGCAGCTAAATAACTGCTGACTTTGGGGGTTCAGGAGGTTGTACCCCTTGCTTCCCAAGCTGGTCCCTGCTCTTGCAGTTCTCTGGCCTCCAAGCTCCTGGCTTGGGCTGGGCCCCACACTGCAGGCAAACAGGCCAGGTGGGTGGAGAGGGAGGAGGTCAGGGAGCAGCAGGTGGATGCTCGTAACAGTCTCTGGGCGCCTGCCTGGCACTTGCGCAACCCTCCCCCACAGTGGACCGCTGGCTTGCTGTGGCGGCTGGGTTGGGCTCCTTCTGGCAGTGGGAGCACCGATACCTGGCAACCCTTTGACAGAGTTGCTCCCTAAGGCAGGTACCTCACACTAAACGGGCTAGAAGCCTTGGCTGCAGACCCTGGGCTTTGGTCCTGGCCAAACCTGATTCAGTAGGATGAGGCTCAAAGCCAATAGAGCTGGAGAAAAACAGTCCGGTTTTTCAATTAAAATTTCAGTTTAGTATAGCCTACGCATGACACTTAGAATCTGTCAACTAGGAACATTTCCCAAGCTTTGGAAGGACAAAGCAAGAGCACCCTGGAACAGCAGGTATGGTAACCCATGCCTGTAATCCCAGGATTTGGGAAGCAGAGGCAGGGAGATCGCTGCAAATTCAGGGTCAGGCTGGGCTACAAAGTGACTACGAGGCCAGCTTGAACTGCGTAGTGAAATCCTGTCTCAAAAAGACAAAAAACTAAAATTAAAAAAAATTAAACAGGTTGGGGATATAGCTTAGCATGAAGGCCTTAGATCCAATCTCCAGTACAAACAATCAATCAATCAATCAATCAACTGATGGGGCTTGGGGTAGAAAAGGATAAGTAAGAGTCAGAGAAGGACTTAGGAGATGGATCTGAGGTTTCAGACCCACGAGCAGGGATCTCCATACCCTCTGATTGATGCTGGAGAGAGGGTCAAGGATCCAGGAGAGGGCCGCTGCTCCCTCTCCGTAAGGACAGGGCTGGAGGAGAAGGTAGAGGGATGTAACAAGGGAGGACAGCTGACTATAGAGTACAGGAGTTTCGGGAGAGGCCCGGCTCTCGCCCCCTCAAAACACAACAAAGGTTTGACAGGAGAAGAATGCGCCTGCCCGCGCCCAGAACCCGTTCTGCGGGCAACTGGCGTCCGTCTGTCCGGGGGACTTTAATGAGCCACCTCATTCCAGGAGTTGATTCACCATCCCTGGCCGGCCCCCGACTGGCATCCCACTTCTCTCTGGGCTGATGTCAGGCCAAGCTCTGGGAGGGTCCACAGTCAAAGGTCAGTCACCCTTAGCGGGGCACACAGGGACCAGGGCATTGGAGCAGTGAGAGAGGGCCACCACTTACCAGTCACTAAGGACCTCAACTGAGACTGACCATTTCTGTTTCTTAGCCTGGGTGGAGACAAATGGGGACCTTTACCTGCTTCAGTCCCAGCTGAGAATGGCATGAGGCTCCTCCAAACTGAGACAGAGCTAGAAAGCATGCCTGCCCTGGAGGCAGCAAAGGAGGAGGGACAGTGGACAAGGCGGGCTGGTTGAAGCTAGGAGCTGTGACACTTGGCTCCCTGGCTCCACTCGGCTGATGGTTGGGGTTTGGGGGACCCAAGTTCCATGTTGTTTGCCTGTCTCTACACATCCACACAAACCTGGGGACAGACAGGGTGAAGGCTGCTGGGTCGCTCTGAGCAAGAGGTAGGTGAGGCTGCCAGGGTGGGGATACATGCCTCATCATACCCACCCCACCAAACCTGTCTCTGTGCCACCCCCATGTCCCTCTTGGGGCTGCATACACAGGGAGTGCACATCGGCTTGCCAACTGCCCATCCCAAGTGCCGCTGAGTGGCAAGAGGCAGGAAGAAGAACTGGTTGGGCCCTGTCCCCTAATTAGATGCTTCCGGCAAGGCGGTGCCCCACTGTGGCCACTCATTGCCTGCCCACAGGCCAAACCAGCAGGCCCTGTCCCTGCATCTTAAGGAGCTGCCGGGCCCCTCTTGTTGGCCCAGGGTGCCTCGACCTCGACAACATTGTGACCGAGGATCATAGCAGTGGTTGGGACATAAAGGGGCTGTATCTGGACAGCTGCCAATCTAAGGGCTATACTGTCCTACTAACACTTCGCAAGCCCACTCCTCGGACTGAAAGCTGCTGATCCAAACAGTGCACAGAATGCCAGGTTCTAGCCCCTCCAAGGCCCCAGGACAAGGCTGGCATGAGGCCTGGTCCTGGCTTTCTGGGGAGACTGAGATATGAGCATGCCCTACTCCCCTGGGTCTCTCGGCTGGTGGGGAGTCAGCTATTCTGAACATGTGTCTGCACAGCCTGGTCGCTTTAAGCAGCCTTGCACCCTTGCCAGGATGGGCTGGGGTCTTCTCTGCCCAGGTCCCCAATTCCTGCTGATCAGCTAGCGGTTTACCTGACAGGAATGGTGACAGTCCACTGGCAGAGGCGACAGCCCTGCGAACTCAGTGGGACCACTTGGCCTTTTGTTGCCATTCTGTTTAATGGCAGAGTTCACTTTGGCACTATCTGTTCCCTTTCCTGAATGCTTTTCATTCAGTGTCCATGTTAAAGTTGGAATTGTGCTTTAGGTCCTTACATCAGGGTGCTCAATCTGGAACCTGTGCTTCTTGTGATATAGGTTACCCCCCGCCACACACACACACACCAGCCTGGGCACCTCCCTGGGGTGCCACACAACGCTGAAATGAACAATAATAAAAAGGCACCCTGCATGCCTGTAATCCCAACACTCAGGAGGCTGAGGCAGGAGGACTGCTGTGAGTTTGAGGCCAGCCTGGGTTATATAATGGGATACCCGGACTTGAGACAAGTAGCCTGGCAAAGTGCCCCCCAGGAGAAGTAAGAATTCCATCTATGGGGCTGGGGATTTAGCTCAGCGGCATAAGCGCCTGCCTTGCAAGCTGGCAGTTGTGAAGTCAATCCCTGGTACTGATAAAAGAAAAAGACCAAAAAAAAAAAAAAAAAAAAAAAAAGAATTCCATCTACCCTATCTCTGGACCCAAGTTGCTCTTCTTTTCACAAGTATAGGCTGACTGTCCCTTCTTCCAGCTTTACTACCTAGAGGTCACGGCAAACCCCTCCTGCACTGCCCTGTAATCACAGCAATTACTAGAACACTCACAAAGGCCTCACATCCCAGCTCTCAGCCTTCCTTCACTTGCATTCTGGGCCCAAACCTGACTTACTTGGCCTTTCTAGCTGGAGTGACCAAGTTCCCACAGAGCCGGGATGGGCCACATTACTAAGCTGAAGGAAACCCCAGGCTTCAGCAGCTCAGCCCTGTTGGCCTCCTGGGCTTGTTCCTGGGCTTGTCCTGAGGCTTGTGCACGTGCTGCTCCACTAGTAAACAGGGGCCCGACCAGCAGCCAGAGGGGAGGTCGGAAATGGGGGTTTGGGGGCCTGGAGGAGGTTCCCAGGATGCCCCTGGAGTTGCAGCTTCCAGGCTGGGTCTGACCCTCAGGTGTCTTCCTGGCACTGAGACTCCACTCAGCAGGGACTGGGCTCAGAGGCTCCGCTCCACCCCTGCTGCTGGAGCTCTTCCCCCCAGTTCAGAAGTGGAATTTACCTCAGGTACAGGGCCCTGGCTCATCCTCAAGAAACCAGCATGCTTCCCTGTCACTCCACAGTCAATATTGACACAACCAAATAGAGAAAAACCCCCTGCAGGAGAGGGGAGTCAGTGGGGGAGGGGACGGGGGGGGGGCTGCACAAATTCTGCCCTGAGAGGGGAACCTCTAGAATTCTGTCTGAGGGAGAAAGGCTGGTGTCATTTTAAGTCAGGCTGAAACCCTTTCCCTCCAAGTGGTCTCTGTAAGGCTTTAAGGGTCCCAGAAAGCCCTGGTCGGAAGGTCAGAACTCTAGTGTTCCCCTCAACTCCTCCCAGTGGGAACTGGCTCAGTGCTTAGCTGGTCACAGTGTGCTGGAGTCTGTGAGCTAAGGTGACTGAAACGTGCCGCGCCAGCTCCTGGGGTCATGGTTGGCTGGTGACAGAATAGCCTAGCCAGGGGACAGGCCACCACAAAACACACACCCTGCTCTCCAGCCATCTGAGGCACCCGAGCATGGATGGAGAACATTCCCTGTCTCATTTCTCAGAGCTGGGGGGAACTCTCCAGTGGACAACATGCCTTTCAGAGACAAAATAATTTCTGTAACTACTACCCTTGTTTTGACCAACAGGGCTCTCCTCTGCCCAGAGCTGTGGGAGGTGTGAGGGCAATTTTTTGTAGGCATCTGGAGGGTGTCCCCCCAATCCGGGACCATCTGGGGGAGGAGGACTTCGTGCTCCCTCACCTGGAGAGCAGCAGCAGTGGCAGGGGCTGCAGGAGCTTTCTGCTGCACCTGATCCCACTGACTATCTCTGCCACCATCACTCCTACTGTGGCCACCAGAACTGTGGTGGTGGTGGGGAGGGGGGATCACTAGGGTCTCAAAATCAACGATCCAAACAAACAGAATTTCTTCTTCCTTTGTAAAAGTCAATGCAGGTTCTGTTACTGACTACAATGTAAAATAAACCTAAAAATAACAGTGCACTCAGTCCAGCTCAAGACTCAGCTCACCTTTAACACAGTCCAAGTTCAGTTTATCAGATCCCAAGAAGCAGCTAAGCAGCAAGTCAAATACAGGTTGGGGAGGAGAAAGGGAGTAAAGAAGGGGCCAGTCCCTCACCAGGCCTTGCGGAGGTGGAACACTGGCTAGCTGGCTAGGGCACCTGGCCAAGAAACTAGAATCCTGAGCCCATTTCCCAACCCCGTTTAGACTTCGGTTTCTCCATTGGGGTCATCAGGGCCTTCAGGCCCAGCCCCTTAGAGTAAGGCTAAGCTGTAAAATATCCCACCAGTATCTTATTGGATCCTGTAATATGACGCCACATAGACCTCACCACTATATTCCTCTCTCCGGCAGCTTACTCAGGAGGGAAACTGAGGCACAGATCTCACAAGGCCCCTCACCCACTGCCCTCTCCTCTCCTTCTCAACTTTTCTAAAGGTCTGGGCGGTGCCAGGGAGCCTGCAGATCAAGGGTCAAAGTCGGTTGGTTAATTACCACCTCTCCCCCCTTGGAGGCGCTGGGCAGGGTGTTCAGTGCGCCCCTGCTCCACCTCCAAGGCTGGGGAGGGGGACTTGCAGGCCCTTTTCCTAACTGAAGGTTTTGTTGGAGATGGGGGACAAAAGTGGTGTCCTCAGGGTTCCTTGGAAAGGTGTTGCTGGAGGAAGAGTACGACTCAGTTACTCATTCAAAGTTGACGCGGACGCTGTCAAAGCGTCTTCCCAAAATAAACTGGGCACACAGGCCAGGGCGCTGTCTCCTGGTGCAAGGTGGGCTCCAGGAAACCACTCACCACCAGAGACAGAAGGGTTGAGTTTCTAACATAAGTCAGACCCGATTCCGCCTTTATTTCAAGGGCAAGCGGGGTACGTTGCGCCCTGGGCGTATGGCTCGCCGGGTTGGGGCTCCAGGGAAGCTCGGAGGGGGGCTCAGCACCGTGCCCCTCGCCCACACCGGCCACCATGTTGTGGGGGAGGGGGCAGCCCCGAGGCGGCTCAAATTCGGCGTCCTCCCTTGCTTGTAGAGCAAACCACAGCCGAAACTCCAGCTCGATCCCTACCCCCAAGTGGCATCGCTCCAGTGCCCTCCTCTAGCCTCAAGAAAGTCTTGGCTTTCTGGATTTACAACGCAAGAGCCGACGGTTGCCGGGGCGGTGACACACCCCGCTGCCTCCCCTGAGCCCCTCAGGCCTGGGGGCCGAGGAACGGCCCCCCGCCCCCCACCACCGCGCGCCTTCCGCCGGCGCCGCCCACCCCTCCCTTCCCCTCTGCTCTCCAGGGGTCAGCCCGCCGCGGGCTAACGGGGCCGAGGCCGGCGAAAGCTGCATCCCGGTGTCTCGGCGGCTGGCGCAGAGCCATGCGTACCTGCGCCCCGCCCTCGCCGCCGCGGGCGCCCGGAGCCTCACCTGGCACGTAGATCTCGCCGCGCTCCTCGTCCGGGAGTTCGCTCCAGTTCCTCTTGCACGTGGAGACGCACGGCTTCTTCACCAGGAACGCGCGGGGCATTTTCGAACTCTCTTGGCCCGGCGCGGTCCTCTTCGGTAACTACAGCCGAAGTTGTCGCCCCTTTTTCCGGCTGGGCTGGAGACACTAGCAAGGAGCCACACAGTTCGAAGAAGAAGTCGCCGAGGCTCTCCCTCCCGCCACGTTCAGCGGAACGACGGTGCTGGGACGGCGCGCTCGCGTTCCAGCTCCTCGTTTGCAGCCAGGTGCACCGGGCGGCGGGGAAGCGGCGGGGAAGCGTCCCTCGGCTCGACTGGCGTCCCCGCGGCCGCTCGCGAAGTCTTAAAGTGCGAGCCGGACGGACGGGTTCACGCTTTATTGGCTCGCGGCGGTGTGTGTTGGTGGCTGGGGCGGGAGGGGGGGTGATCTGATCTAATTAGCTTGGAGTGACCCGGCGAGCGATGGCGCATGCGTTGGGAAATAACGGTGACAACCCACCTATTTGTTACCTGTCGAACCGGTTTCCATTCCGCTGCGGGTGAGGTGGCCTCGCGGGCCGGGCGGGGCGGTCGGGCGGGGGCGGGGCGCGGGGGGTGGTGGTGCGGACGCCAGCCCCCAACCCCCAGCCCCCAGCAGCACTCGGTGCTCAGACCGCCCAGGACCTCCCAGGTGGGCCGTTCTAACGTTTGCCAACGGAGAGTTTCGGTGGGAGCATGGGGAGGTGAGGAGGGAAGGGCAACGTTATGTGCATCGGCGCTCGCACGCTCCGCGAGTGATGAAATAAAGCTCGCCCAACGGGGCCAGCCCAGCCTGGCGCTCCCGGGGCGCCCGGGAAGGCGCGAAGCCGCCGGGCGGGAATGGGCGGCCCGGGGCCCACTTGTTGAACCAGGCCTGTGCCCAGGCGGCCCGGAATGCCAAAAGCTGAGCAATTCGTGGTTCAGCTCAGAGGTATTTGCCGGCTTCACGCGGGATACACGCTGGGCTGCAGGGTCGTGTGAGTTGGCTAGTGGGAACTCGCACCCTACAGAGCGAATACAAACGGAGCACCCACCTGGCGCCTTGGCGCTGAGGGCTCACCTCCTGTTCCCAGAAGGCTTCGTGGAGGGAGGATGGGGCTTTTAAAATTTGTTTAAATTAAGTTTATTGAGGCCGGATTTATAACTCAGCAACTCAGCGCCTGCTTGGCAAGCTCAAGGTCTTGAGTTCTTCCATTCTCAGTACCAAAATAAAGTTTATTGGTGCACTTTAGGTATACATAATCAGTTCATCATATCATAGGGAATCTGTGCCTCTAAGTGATATATCTTGAACTTTTTTTTCCTCTTCCCCTTCCCTCCCTTCAACCTCCTCTTCCCTCCTTATTTACAAAAGCTTTTGTTTCCATTTTTTCCTTGTTTTCACTTTTCTTTTCTGGAGGAGGCTTTACACTGACTCCACTAACTTCCTGCAAAACCCAATGCCCTGCCCTTGGGGTTTACACACTGTTCCCCATTCTCCTGTGTCTTGAATAGCCGGCCAGATTTCAAGTGCAGCAAGAGCAGAAGGTAAGGGGGCTGGAGATTTAGCTCAGCGGCATAAGCGCCTGCCTTCCAAGCAGGCAGTCCTGTGTTCGATTCCCGGTACCGATAAAAAGGAAAAAGACAAAAAAAAAAAAAAAAAAAAAAAAAAAACCAACCAAACAAACAAAAACACCAAAAAGAGCAGAAGGTAAAGAAGAGCTGAGGATCCAGGACTGTAGTGGCGTTAGGCCAGCCCTGAGCAGGGGTTCAGCCTGCCTCTTTCCACACCCAATCCATCTTTCTCCTGCTCTGGCAGGCCCAATTAGAGGGATGCCTACCCCCACCACCCTGCCCAGGAGTTCTTTGTGGCCGCTGCTAGCCATTTTACTGTGATTCTTTGGCCATGGCTGAGCTTCTTCTATTAGCCAACGTACTAAGAGCAGGACGGAGCTCCTCTCATTTCAGAGTCCCCATTGCACCTATCTTTCCCACATACTGGTTTTTCGTTTTTTGATATAGCTTTACTACTGACTACCTCCCCACTTTGGTACTGGGGATTAAACCTAAGACCTCTGCACTGAGTACATCCCTTGCTTCCTTTTTTATTTTGAGAGATACTGCCTTGATGTTTGCTTTTGGTTTTTGTTTGGAGTGTGTCTTTTTTTTTTTTTTTAAGTCAGTTGCTCTTGTATTTGGTGCATATATATTTATGATTGGAATTTTTTTTTTATCTTTTTGAGACAGAGTTTCACTATGCAGTTCAGGTTAGTCTTGAACTCACTTTGTAGCCCAGGCTGGCTTGGAACTCACGGTGATCCTCCTGTCTCAGTCTCCCTAGTGCTGGGGTTATAAGCATAAGCCACCACATCTAGATAAGGCCTTGTTAAATTGCCCAGGCAGGGCTTGAATTTGGATGCTCCTGCCTCAGCCTCCCAAGTGCCTAGGTTTATAAGTGTGCACCACTGAACCTAGGTCTCATAGAGTATGAAATGTTTGCCAGAACAGATTGGGGGCATGAGTCCAGTGATTCCACACAGTTAAAAAGACATAGTCAAAAGAAGAAATACAGTTGATGTAGACTCAGGAATCTAGTTGAAGGTGATGTGGCTTCTAGAAATACTGCATTCCCCTGGGACTTTTTTTTTTTTTGTCTTTTTCGTTTTTTTTTTTATCGGTACCGGGGATCGAACTCACGACTGCCTGCTTGCAAGGCAGGCAGGCTTATGCCGCTGAGCTAAACCCCCAGCCCCTCCCCTGGGACTTTTGTGAAGCTCCCTTTGTGGGGGAAGAGAACATGGACTTTGGGAACAGATGGGCCTTCTCCTCCTCTCGCTCCTGGATACTGAGTTTGGCCAAGGGCCCTTCCTTGTCTGTCCCTTAAGAGTCCTATCACCCATCTCCTACAGTTACTGGAGGGTGACGCATGCTTTTGCCAAAAGGCATTAATACTGCCCGGTCTCCCCTGGGGCTCTGCCTTCAAGGATCCCACACTTCCCTTGTCCACCCTCTGCTCTGCTCCTGGACTCTTCCTTCCAGCTGACAGTGATGACCACCTGCCATGTGTCTGTCTTTTGAAGTAAATCCTGCAGCAACAGCCCTCACCGGCAGTCTGGCTAGGAATTTAGCTCACTCACTCCACAGATGTTTCTTGAGCACTTCTGTTTTTCTGCCCAGGGAGTTCTACAGTGAGGTCTTCATGGGTGACCCAGGACACAGAGACAGACTTTCTCATCAGGGAGCATTTCAGATTCCAGAGGCCAGCTGGGGAGGTACAGTGAGTGAAGCCAACCAACCCTATGGCTCCACTGTACAAAGAAAATGAGGGAAGGTGCTTTGTCCAAACTCTGTCCTGTTGCAGTTTCTGTGTCCATAGCCATACCTGGCACAAAGCTGGTTATCAATAAACATTTGTGGGGTGAATGATTATCTTGTTTTCTTGTGTGATCCATTTGTAGATTTCCTTATAAAGAAACCAGTACCACATGCCTGTAATCCCGGCACTCTGGAGGCTGAGGCAGGAGAATCATGAGTTGTAGCCCTGCCTGGACTACATAGTGAGATCCTGTCTCAAAAAAACAAAAACAAAACAGTAGTGAAGTTGAATGACAAAAGGCAACTGGTGTGGCTGGGTGTGGTGTACTGTGGTAGCCCAGCATTCTTGAGAGGCTGAGGCAGGAGTATCAGAAGTTTTGAGCTTATCCTGGGCTATTTGCTTATTTATTGTGGCAGAGTTTCGCTACATGATTTAGGATGGTTTTGAACTCAGTACAAGCACAAGGTTGTAACCTCAATTCTCAGTACCCAAAATAAATAAATAAATATCAGATTCTAGCTGTTATGACCATACAGTCTCAAAAAAAAAAAAAAAAAGGCTAAAAAAATTACAGATCCCCATTTGTCTGTGAGACATACACACCGGTCATTTGTATTTTGGTTTTTGGGATAGGGGTTGTACCAGGAATCAAACTCAGGACCTCATACTTGCTAGGCATGCACTGTACCACTTAGATAAATCCCCAGCCCTGCTTTGTTTTTGAGAAAAAGTCTCACTACATAGTTTAGGCTGGCTTTGAACTCACTGTGTAATCTAGACTGTCCTTAAACTCAAGGTGATTCTCCTGCCTCAGCTTTCTGAGTGCTCAGATAACAGGCATGTGCCAGTATCCCCAGCTTTGATTTTTACTTTTTTGGTACCGGGTATTGAACTCATGACTTAATGCTTGCCAGGCAGCCGCTTATGCTACTGCTAAGCTTTGTCCAGCTTTGATTTTTTTTTTTTTTTTTGTCTTTTTCTTTTTTATTGGTACTGGGGATTGAACTCATGACCACACACTTGCAAGGCAGGCGCTTATGCCACTGAGCTAAATCCTCAGCCCCCTCAGCTTTGATTTTTAATTCAGCTTTTTTTTTTTTTTTTTTTTTTTTTGGTACTGGGACTCCAACTCAGGCCTTGTGCATGCCAGGCAGGTGCTTATGCTGTTGCACTATTATTCCTGGCCCCCATTTTTTTTTTAAACTGATAGATTGATTCAAACAAAACACATCTTAAAACTGGGCAGCTTGGGCTAGGGATTTAGCTCAGCAGCATAAGTGTCTGCCTTTCAAGTGCGAGGTTGTGAGTTCAGTTCCCTGTACTGATTAAAAAAAAAAAAAAAACTGGGCAGCTGGGCATGGTGGCATACACCCATAATCCTAGCACTTGGGAGGCTGAGGCAGGAGGATTGCTGTGAGTTCGAGGCCACCATGAGCTATACAGTGAGGTCAAGACCAACCTGAACTATATAGTGAGACTCTGTCTCAGAAAAACAAACACCTCTGAAGGTTAGATGTGCCCCTCAGCTGCTGGTGTGTGCACCGAAGTTCAAAGGCAGTGGAGGAACGAGGCAAGCTATGTGAGTGTGAGTAAACCCAGGCTAGTCTGTGAACACCATGAAGACAGCCAGTCCTACTCACTCAGCACTTAGCTCCAAGGCAGCTTAATATAAATCATCCGCCCTTTATTGAGTCAACAGATGTTTTCTTGAATGCCCACCATGTGCTAGGCACCAAGGGTCCTGTGATACAGAGGAAACAAATAAGGAACCTGTGTGGTGCAGATGTTTAATGAGGGTGCAGTGATGGAGGCAGGCGAGGGTGCTGAGGTCCAAATGAGAGCTCAGCTCTGCAGAGTCAGGAGGATGATGGGCAGCAGAAGGAACAGCTGGCACCTACAGCAAGAATGAGCCTAGAGTGTGTGGGAGGCACCCAGTGGTTGCAGAGATGGGGGGGGGGCAAGGGGAACCAAGACTGGGAGGAGATGGGTCCTGCATGTGAGGGGGGAACCCTTTGTACCTGGTGCCACAGGGTCTACTATAGGCAGAGCAGAGCATGTGTCAGTACAGAAGGAGGCAGGGGAAGATGGGCACAGGAGCTGCTATAGAGGTCCGAGCAGAAGACAGTTTTTAGCCTGGGCTAGGATGCAAACTGAGCTTGAAAGGAAAGGGGGTCGCTGTGCTCCCCAAAGAGTACCCTGTTAG